GTGGAGACCCGGGAGAAGCCGGCAACGGAGGCCGGCGGCGAGATTGGGTTTCTGGTGGCGGCGTCGACGGAGGAGGGGAAATCGGAGGAGGAGCTGGTGAAATTGAAGCAGAAACTTGTGTCTCAGGTTTTGGAAATTGGGATTATTTTTCACTCTGTTATAATCGGAGTTACGATGGGGATGTCCCAAAATCAGTGCACAATTAGGCCTCTCGTCGCCGCTCTCGCCTTCCATCAAATCTTCGAAGGAATGGGCCTCGGCGGCTGTATTGCCCAGGTAATCCTAAAATCACACCTCCAATAACATCCAATTTCAGTACCCTTTTCACCATTTTTACAAATTCAATTTTCAATTCGGAATTTAAATGAACGAAAATTGGGAATTGCAGGCAGGGTTCAGCTTGGCGACGACGTCGTATATGTGCTTCATGTTCTCAGTGACGACGCCAATGGGGATAGTATTGGGGATGCTGCTGTTTTCGATAACTGGTTACGATGACAGCAGCCCAAAAGCTCTGATTATGGAGGGCTTATTGGGCTCGTTTTCTTCGGGGATTCTCATATACATGGCCCTCGTCGATCTAATAGCCGTCGATTTCTTCCACAACAAGATGATGACCTCAAATCAACTGCTCAAAAAGGCATCGTTCATTGCATTGACTCTCGGCTCTGCATCCATGTCGGTTTTGGCTCTCTGGGCTTGACTACCATTGATCCAAACAGAAGGGCATGCAGATTTTTCCAAAAGGGAAAAAAAAAGTGACCCTTTTTTGTTGAATGTAAATGCATTATCGTGGTTACTGGCTTCCATGTCATATATCCAATTTGGTTTGAATACAAGGGGGGTGTTCTATGAAGAGTTTAGTGGTCAATAAAGTTGATTGTTGGGTTTTATATTTTACGTATGAGAATGGAATGGAGTGGAGTGGAAAGTTTTTTAATGCGCCTTTTGTCACCAGCCTTTTTGATAAGCTTTGTTGTTCATTAATGGCGTTCGCGTTCAAAGAAAGGAGTATCATACACTAAAGTTGATAAACAAAAGAGAGAAGAAATGTTTTTGCTAACTTTGGCTGAATAGGACGTTGGAATTATTGGAACAAATGAAGAAAACTTGGTAGTGATCGCTTTGAGTGAAGAAAATATGAAGAATTTTCTTGTACGAAAAATAAATGTTGAATTTTACTGTAATTGGAAGTATAAAAAGTCATCCTCTTAAATCCTAATTAATGCTTTTGATTAATAAACAGCAGTCCGATCAAATTAATGCTTCCACTAATTTTTTTTAATTATTAATTATTAATGTTTCCTTCCCACTAATTATTAAACTCTAAATTGGCGTTTCTCTCTCTCACCAGAATTTTGAGGCCTCGAAATGAGGTACGTCAATGGTCAACGGCACTTGCAGATCGAGTCTGGAAAATCATGACGCCACGAAGACAAAAAATCGCGCTAGAAATTTTCTGTAGACTTTTAACAATTTTTTTTTTCTCATTACAATTTATTACCTTTTTAAATACGGAAATTACTTAATTAATAATTATTTTTTATGTTAAATTACAAGTTCAGTAACAAAACTTGTAAAAATGGTCTTAAAATTTTGACGTTTTTAAGATTTTCAAACTTACTAGACACAAAATTGCCCATGAGAACTGTAAAATTTAAATTCTATATAAGACAGGTCATAAATTATAAAAAAAATATTTAATAAAATAAAAAATCTATTAATATAAAACAGAAAGTTAATAGACCGAATTTATTAGACACAATTTTGAAAATTCAAAAATTAAACTTATAATTCAACTATTTTTTATCAATATAACTTGAGTGTGTTCCAAAACATACGAGATGTTAGGGTATACCATATCTACAAAATATTAATTATAAGATTACACTTAGCTAAATTTAGTTAATCTATTTTAACTCAACTTTTGATTTTATTAAATTAATCTTTAGATTTGAGTGAGTCAAATTAATACATTAGTTTAAAAATTTTCCACAAAATGACCCATGAATCACACAAATTCAACCAACAAAATACCTAATATTAAACCATAGGAATTCTTAAAAGAAAAATAAGCTCCAACCTAGTTACAAAATCAAGTTGGTAGAAAGGAAAATGCCTAAACTCAACCAAGAGTCCGAAAAAAAAAGTAACCACACAAATAATATCCTCCACCTAAAATAACACCCACAATCATCCAGCGATTTTCAAGCCCAATACAGAGCATTAATTTAACCAATTAAGAGAATTAGAAGAACAAAAAAAACTAATAAATGTCTCAAATTAGTGTTTTCCATCCAAAAGGGTATTGAATTATTGATCAAACATGAATGCAAATCTGTCTAAAATCAACAAATATTCAAAGGTTATTATAATATCGTATGATATACTTTTTCTTTCTTTAAAACTAGAAGTCAAAGTTTTGCTCTCCTCATATACCTAAGGACACTTGGACTCGCCTCAGCCCCACGACTCGTCTGGACACATCTTTTGAACATAGAAATAGAAAGAGGGGTAAAAGATCAAAATATATGATGTCTCAGGAGTAAATTGCAATCCACAGAACATTTATAAACACAACCTCCTCGAAGTGGACAAAATAGGAAGGAGGGAATAGAAATAGAACATATATATATATATATAATTTTTTTTCGTGGTAATCTTAGTTTTTCTCAATCCAGAGTACATGGCGGTGCTTTGACCAATCTCTTCACAAAAGAAGAATAAAGGTCAAAAAACAAAACGAAACATTCACGAGAAGGTATGGTCTATGGATCAATATACTGACAAAAGTGGGGCAATTGGAAGTTCTCACAAGAACTTGACTTTTTGGACCCAAACAGCTACATTTGACTCTTTGACTCAGTGTCTTTATACATAAAGTCATTCCTTCCATTTGATACGGAATAATTATACTAGTTCTATTGATTAATAATAATATTTTCTTTTGAGGGGATTGAGATTTGCTTGGAGCTCAAGATACTTTCGGAATAAGAAAATGGAAAATACAACTTTTTACAGATGGTCGAGAATATGGGGCAAGTGACAGAAGGAAGCCATGAATTGTGATCTAATTTTCTGAGGGAAACCCAAAGGTAATTTCTGAGGGGGATAAGAAGAAGAAGAAGAAGAATTACTAAGAAATTCAGTTGATGAATCCAACTTCATTCTAACATTGCTGCCCACCGATAACAATCTGCACTTCATTCTCACTCAATTCCAAGTGATTACCAACAATTCCATTCCTCGAATTCTCATCACGAACCACCGGAGCCCTACAAATGGGACAATTTGAATGAGAACTCAGCCACATGTCGATGCACTCGACATGAAAGACATGGTTACACTTGGGCAAGCTCCTCCCAATCTCATTCTCTTCAAAAGTGCTCAAGCAAATGACGCATTCCAACCCACGTTTGCATTGGTTTTCCGATACATAAATAAACAGAGGGATTGAAGAAATTACCGAGGCATCAAGTCCTTTGGTGGGAGACCCAGTAGGGGAAGAACTATGGTCGAATGATATGGAGTGAAAATGGTGTAATCGAGGCTGGCCGAGGACTTGGGTCACAGTGATAGAGTTGCCTCGCTGGTGGCGGGCCTGCGCAAGGAACCATTTGGCATAGATGTGGAGGAGGACGACGAAGATGGTGACAAGAAGTAGAGAAATTAGCCCAGCTAGCATGACACTGCCATTGTATGAGAGAATGCTGCGGAAGGGATGACTCAGTGGATCAAAAGATGGCAAGCTGAGTGACTGTGACGAGTTGAACATACTTTTAGAGAGAAAAAAAGAGAGTGGGACGGAAGTTATTGATGGGTTTGATTTAGGTTGTCTGTAACTCTTGAGGATATAAGGAAGGGATGGATGAGACGATACACGGATATTGCTGATTCCCATGAGAAAAAGGTTACGTGAAAGTGAAGTCATGGTTAAAGGGGAGAAATTATAAAAAATAAGGAGGCTGAGATTGGGATATGTGGATGTGGTAGTTGGGGGACATTGTCTCTTTCTTTTATCGAAATGATTACCAACGATGGAAAACGGAGAAAGAGGTCATAATCCCAAGAAACGCAGAAATGGAAGCCTCGTGAAGGCGACGGCAGCAACATCAAGCAGGAAGAAGCAGGATTCCTAATCCTAATATTCATTTTGTACTATCGTATGTGTTTAAAATGAGACCCTCATGACTCCAAAAAAGATGTCTTCAAGTCGTTGGTTTCAAGAGTTAATTTTGTAAGGGGGCTTCGGATCGCATATAAGTGTACTGATAGACTTAAAATCTCTCAAACAAATAAGAAAAAGTTACCTCAGGTTGAAATTGGCCCATTTGGAGAAGCAGAGAAACGGTCCTCGAGTCAAAATTCTGTTGCTCTCTGATTTATAGATCACGAAATTGCTTCTCCAATCTTCCACCATGTGCATCCACCTAATAGAGTTCATTAAACAAAAGAAAAATCACAAAAGGATCCAACTGATGGAGAAGAATGCTTTGTCAAGTAGAACATACCAAATACTGCAAAAATCAGGACTGGAAATATCGATGCCATGCAGGCAATTAGATTCGATCTCTCGAAGGGGTGTGTTTCATCCATGGCAACGTCCATGGCCTGTTACCAGTACCTATTTTTCTTAACTCCAGTTTTTAAACTAAAGGGACTCATTTGGGTAGTCTCTCGCTTGGAAGCTACAGCTTTGACTTTTTCATCTTCCATGGGTTACAGTAGACACAGTAACCAAATAGCTGATTTTTGCTTCCAGATAAAACAATATAATGAACTATATACAATTCTGTTGGAACCGGTTAGAATCGAGGATTTTACTGTCTAGAATTTTCGTGATTTCAATAGTTATTGGGACTGAACGAGATAAATAGAACCGAACTCTCAAGTCCTGCTTTGAATGGGAGAGAATTTTGTTCAACCATTGCATCCTGCCTGAGTATTGAGTTACATACATACACATAACATCACTATTACAAAAATGAAAAAGAGTTCTCATCACATTTGCATCGGAGGTTAATGGTACGAGTAGTGCAATTTATGACGCCGACATTTGGTAATGAATGAGAGAATTAAAAGAATGCATAGCAACTTCTCAAAGCACATGTGAATTATAGAGTAACATCCGGGGGTCTGTTAGTCCATAAGTTTGTATCTTTTCTCTTGCACACCCGTGACTCCCATTTGTATCTCAATTATTGTATGAAGTGGGACCTGCCAAAATTGAATCGAGGCATTTTAAACCATTCTAGTTGAGACAACCAGCATCTCCCGCTCCCAAATATTGAAGTGAAAATACAAAAAAAACTGATTTCTTGTTAATTATCTATAATTACCTCGATGTGTGGAATTTCTTTCAAGGGCCTATCAGCAAAATAAGCATATAATGCTCTCAAGACCGCCTGTAAGACAAGAAAAAAGTCTTAGGGAGACAACCACCAGGACAAACGAACGATAGAATGGTTAAGAAGTTAGTTTACCTGATGAGAAATAACAACAACAGGTGCCCGTTGTCTTTCAAGCTCAATAATTACTGGTTCAAGCCTGTGTCATTAAAATTAACGGACTCAGAAGATGGAACAAAATAAAACATGCATTAGGATAAAATAATGAGAAGGATTAAAGCTTTGGAGGAAAGAAAGAAAGAAAGATTGCATACCTTTGGATAACATCCAAATACGATTCCCCACGAGGATATCTATATCTCAATTTATCTTTCTTCCGTGCCCTGCAAGTGGAAAATGCAAGGAATTACCTATGGGAAAAGAGTCTTACAGTTTATAAAGGAACAACTTCCCCCACTACCACAACTAGCAAGGAAGTTTCCTGAATTAAGTATCATGACAAATATCTGTTGGAAATTAAACATTTATTCAAATTCTGCATAAGGCAAACAGATGATTATCAAGAAGGGGGAGGGGAGGTTGAATACTCGTATTCTTCCGGCATGTTTTTCTTTATCTCTTCATAGGTCATTCCATCACATACTCCAGCATATATCTCGTCAAGTGCACGCCATTGAATCTAATAGATGGAAATAATCATATAACATTTTATACTTGTGCTTAAAGTGAGAGTTGTAACGCATATCTTTCAGATAACAAGCTAACCTTAGGGAAGCCAGCGATAGGACTCGCAGTCAAAATTGTTCGCTGAAGTGTGCTTGTCCAAATCTAGACCACGACAAAGTCATAAATGATATCAGTAATCATTAGCATTTATAATAACCAGATGCAAATTCAATCCAACTTCTGAGCTTACAGAGGCAGCCCGTTCGGACTTCAATCGCTTTTCAACAAAGTTAGCAAGCTTCTTAGAATATACTCCTCCAGCCTCGCTGCCAAAGTAGTAAAACAATCCAAGTTCAGTGTTCTAATAAACAAGAAAATAAAACTGAAATTATGCTACAATACAAAATGGAAATTATGCATCCCTTTTATTCAAAGGTGCTGGAATTTGTTCTATTTCAAAGCTTCCAACTGTCCTGGTCTTTCACGAGGCAACTAAAATTATTCTTCTCAACTTGGTCCAAGAGGAAAGCTAAAATGGACGTTGCTGTGACAACTACGGATAGAATGGAACAATGAAATTTTTTGTGATAAATCTAGGATTAGGGTAAGTCCTTGATTAAGCTAGATTTCATTGTTCTTCTTGGAGCTCCCTTCCTTCTATCCCCTATTTGTCATTTTTTCTTTGAAATACTAAATTTGAGAAAGTTAATATGATTGGCACATATATATTTGAGAAAGTACTTTAAGGTGTAATTGCAAAGTATTGGTACAAGGACCAATTGGACTATTTCAAAAACATATGAAGTCTCTTATAACATATTGTAAGAGGTATTTCGTAACTAAGATTTTATAATCCTTTTTGTACAAGACATACAAAAAAATTGTTGAATACATTCTGCTTTATTTCAACTACCTTCTTTCCTTCATTTACAACTTTTTTGACTCAGTCCCTAGTTACTTTGATTTTGTGTCACTAAAGTGTGCCAGTCAAGAGTGAAAAAATAATTGCAGGTTCAACAGCCAAATCCCTCCTTTTCATAACTACAGGTACTAGTTCAAAATTTTGTGTGGTATAAGATTGATCATGAAAACTTTATTCTTATACTGCATTATTATGCATACCTTAATTCCGTGTCACCTCCAATCCTACCTCTAACATTATCCATACTCTCTCCATGCCTAGTGAGCAATATTGGGCGTGGTGTGAGATGAGTATTCACCTGCACCACAATAAATTGAATATATGATAAGAGCATAAATGAGTATGTTAATTACATAATAATATAATAATACAAAGAATAAGGATGATTTTTGTGTGAAACAATTGACAAATGGTTCACAAGGTATGAGAATTAAAAAAAAGCTTTTAATACAACAATATGTGAGAGTGGAGATTCGAACTCACGACCTTTCGATCGAAAATAGGTGCCTTAACCAATTGAGAAAAACTCAAATTAAGGTATGAGAATTCAATTAGCAAGTCTTACTCTCAGAGATTCCAATTTTCAGAATTAACAATTCATAAAGGGACACTTGAGCAAAGTATCTGCTAGCCTGATAGCTCTAGTGGTTATCAATTCCCCTTTTATTTAATTTTATTTTGAACAAGTACGAACTTTTCATTATTTCTTAAATTAATAAAAAAAATGTTCAAAGATATAAAATCCCAAAAGAGAGGGATAGAAATAAGAAAAAGTATAAAATGGAGAACCCACCTAAAAAGAAATTAATGTATTTATACAAACTCCCAGAGATACAACTTCTATAAGAGTTTCTCGGAGGATTCGGAGCATGTTTTGTGGAGGCATCAATTTGCAGGCTCAATTTCAGACACTTTTTTTCAAGGCTTCTGGGGACAAATGGCTCGTTGTGGGTCTTGCTGTCTATGTTAGAGGAAGTGTTGCTATTGTTTCACGCTTATTTCCAAGACAAAGAGGTGACTCTCTGGCTTGCTACTTTCTTTGTGAGAAATAAGAGAGTTTTCACAAGTGTGGGAAATTCTTTAAGGAAGGTTGAGCCCGGGTTATGTTCGATACCTTTAGTGATTTTCAATTTTAGTGATTTTCCTTTATCTCTTCATTCTTCTCAACTAGACCTCTTTTTGTATGTGGTTAGTTATCTTTTTGTATTACAATTCCTTTTAACTTGGACTTCTGTTTTCTTGTATTTTCCTAAACAATAGATCAAGCTACCGAGTCTAAAATTTATAGGGTGTATTAAGAATGTCTATATTTTTGTCACAACACATCAAAAATACCGATCAAAGGAGATCATACCAAGAAAAAGACAATTCGTCCAGGTAGATACCCACTGATGTTGTTTACCTGAAAAAGAAAATATATATTTTTAGTACAAAAGAATTTAAGTGAATAAACCCTAGGTATGCTTCATCTAAACAAATAACCAAGCTACTTTCTTTGGAAAGTGATAGTTATTACAATATCAGAAAGTCAGAGACGAAATAATAACTTATTAATCTTACCTGAAATGATTAGTTAAACTAGCAACTGTAAATTGAAAAATATGAGGTATCAAAGACATAATAACCACAAGGAGCTAAACTTACTTGTATTTGTCCTCCATGGCCACTAACCATATCAATCATTTTAATGTAGGATCCCTCTTCAACAGGTTCATAAACCTGACATGAGGAGCAAACTCAGATTTTCCAAAATAATAAGTATCATATCCAAATATAATAGAAAAATATTAATATTTTAGAGAATTACTTTTTCATAGTTGTCTAGGCGAGCTTTGAAGTCACGACAACCAGCCTCAAAATCCGGCCTGTAAGAAGGAAGTAAAAGAAACACTCACTATGTTCCCAAAATAATGAAAGAAGCTGCTTGGGAAACATACTCCTCTGCATAATCAGGACTTTGTTGTATTTTAAGACGTATATTCCTTTCAATGATGCGTTCATCATTGCATAGAGTTTCCAGAAAAATAATCTGCAATTACAAAAAGATAAAAGGATCAGAATTCTCAAGATTTCAGGAATTCTTCACTATCTGTACAAATGGGATCATTATACCCGACATTTTCCTTCAGCCAATTTCATCAACATGTTTCTCCGTTTCCTGGTACTGTTTGTGGCATCAAATATTCCAACCTAAAGTAATTTAGCATTAGCAAATAAAGCATTAGTTTAAATCCATGGATGCAACAGTTGAAGACCTTACCTGGCCACCTTCCTGCATCCAAGAAATCATATCCTCCATAGCTAGAGCAGCTACCTAGTTGCAGGTGATATATTAAAACTATGTACACAGAAAAAAATTATCATGGTGTTAACATTACCAATAATCCATGTTAGTCAGGGAAAGTTAAAATTGCTTCTTTTTCTTTTCTACCAAGGAGAGTTAATTAATTTATTAAAATAACGGACAATTTCGTTTTATTCTTTCTTTCTTTCTTTTTGTGTGTGTGTGCGCGCGTGGGTGGGGGGGAAGTATTCCATTTTTAGGGTTATGGAGTGACGGGTCACCCGACATAAACATCAACTCAAACAGATGATACCAATAGACGACAAAAGTATTCCCACTTTCTTTTATCTATAACATAACATCAGTTTCTAGCATTCACCTCATTACGTGCCTCCATGCCTTCTGGATTGTCAGCTCGAAAAAAGTCTGCAGACTGCACATGTAAATTTTTTGTCCATAAAAAACAGCATAACCTCATGAGGAGCAACCATAATCACCGAAAGACTGAACGATTACTTAATAAAACTAAGTAACCATGAAATATCAAGGCAGCCTAATGACACTGCTCTAAAGAGAGTAATCCTGAAAATTCAGTCCTCCTGCACGAATTTATGTGCACTCCTAGTGACCATTTGATTTTAATGTATCTAGTTGTAATTTGTTGAGTTTCTCCCCCAAGTATTGTCACTTCACAGTAGAAACATAAAGAACGGGTCTACAAATAAAAAAATAAATCACTTCGACATTGAAGAGTTGACAACACGTTAAAATTGTAGATCATATCTGAAAACACACCTGATTAGCACCATGCTTTAGGCGTCGGTACTGTTACAAAAAAGAAAATAGGTTCATATTGAAATCCAAGCTGGTTCACCATATAGTACAATGCATAATAATGATAAGAAAGTCAAACCTTGCCAACGTTGAAATGCTTTGTCTCATGACCTAACCAACGAAGATATCTCGTAAGCTTAGCAGCAGTAAAAGTCTTGCCTCGAGCGGGCAAACCAACCTAAACCACAAAAGAAAAGTCATGAGAACTTTTACTCTTGAGTACCAAACTACTAATGAAAGAGTGAAATTTTACACCAAATACTGCTACAGCTTCTTAGCCAAATATAATGTGTAGTCCACCTCACCATACCCACAACTCAATAATTATTGATATTTTATGAAATTCATTCGTCCAGGAAAGTACCAAGACTATTGCCAAATGTCTATCCTCCTTTGGTCCAAGCATTTGATCAGCAATAGCTGCAGCAGCAACAGCTCCAGCCGCTGCTGGCATTGAATTCTACATATTAACAAACAAAAAAATATGGAAGATAAATAATATGACTCGTAATATTGAGAGATGAAAAAGCAAATACAAACCTTGGATTCCGTGTCCAATTTCAGATCCGAAAAGAAAGTGCTGGTACTAGCTGATTTAGCCAGCCTAGGGGATCCAACACCTCGATCCACAAAAAGTCCCCTATGACTATCTTGCTTTTGCAAATGAGAAAAGGTCCCTACTGACTTTGATTCAACCATTCCAGAACCCATATACACCTTGGATGGATCAGGGACAATAACTGTCATATCCTAAATAAGCAACCACCAAAAACCACACACTATTAACAGATGAAGAGTAGGAGTTGTGTCATTAAGACACAAAAAAAAAAAAGAAAAAAAAATCATGTTCATGGTTTCAATATTGTTTTCATATATCTAATGAGAAACAAGGATGGACAAATAAATAAACTTGTAAGATAAGGAGTTGTTTCAGTGTATTTTTTAGAATAACTTTTAACTTCTAAAATTGCTTTCCATTGTTTTAAATTTTAGAAAACATATCTATTATATTTATTTTATCTCCATATCCATTTACAAATATAACACATTTAAATCAAGTAATATGTAAAAAATAATTAACAATTGTATATGAATGGCAAATTTAACCAAGCACAAAAGAAAATAGATGAAAACAGCACAGCAGTGTTTCTGTTTTCTCCTTTTTCCTGAAATCTGTTTTATAAAGTAAAAAAATAAAAAATAAAAAAATGTTTAAGACATCAGTTCCAAACAAACTCTTAAGCTCTAATTTCAAATTCAGTCAGAATGGGAAAGATGCAATGAAAAAAATTGATCTAGTTGCAATTATTGTCCAAATATTTTCACGGCTTACACTCTAATGCCTATAATTGAATTGAAACTTAATATTTACAAGAGAATTTTACAAGAGAACACCTTTACAGTTGTTGGTCGGTCCCCAAGAATACCACTTTCCTTAGATGATGACATGTTCCCTAATCCATCAGCATTGAAATGGACCCCAAAAGCAGTTAATGATCTAGGAGTCTCTGTCAGGTTAGCTGCATAGACAAGGCCTGAGTTTGAAGAAGGAGCTGGAACCACGTAGTGTTCAAGATCAAGCTCCAAGCTAGCCGATGACCCATGCTAAAAAGGCAAAAGAAAAGACAGAGGAAGTGTGAAGAAAATAAATATTTCTAGCAATAATATTAAAGCTCTACTTCTAATACTCCTTGACATAATGTTAATTTGTTACGTCTCTCCCATTGTATTTTAAACTTAAATATCATATATATGCAAAAAGGCTGAAATAACTAATTCCTTTTCACATCTAAAAAGATCACTTTGCATTGTTACACCTCACTATAAGGAACTAATCAAATACTAAAAAAGTAAAAAGGCGAAGGTTCAGTTGATATATGTGAATGGAAGAACATAAATCAAAAGGCAAAAGATACACTGTAACTAGATTCTAAGGAGACCTTCCTGATCAATGCTAATAAAAAAATTTCTCCAAGGCTTGATTGTGAGTAGTAATGAAATACTAGCAAATAAACATTTTGTTAAAATAGAACAATATTGAATGGAATATTGTATAT